AGTTACGAAGTTAATGTATGCGCAAAGGACACTACAAGCGCGTAAGAAAGAACCTTATTATATCGTAGTGCACTGCGAGCGTGAAAGCTCGAAAGGGCATGCGTTCAGCCCCCTGAATTGCGAAAACTCAAGAGCGCCCAAGTGCCCCCCCCCCCTTTCGCCTTTAGAGCGATGCAGGGGCACAGCCTTTGTGTACAAAAACAAATTAATGCAGGATGATTTTTCGCAATTCAGAACCGTACAGACAGTCGTCTTGAGCAATAGAAACTGTTATCTATCCCTGGAAATTTGCATTGTCCCTATTGGTTCATTTCGATGGAAACCAATCCTCTCTCTCTTTCAAACTATTGAGCATTTATTTATAGAACTACATCTGATCTCCTGAAAGTTACCTTTTGATGACATAGTAGTTAGAAGACGTCATTTCGGTGCCACTTTGTATATTTGTGAAAGAAATAGTTTGTATTTTATTATTCAGTGTATCTTCTTAAATTCAATCTCAATTATTTATAAACAAAAGTAATATTATGAAAAACTATATCATAATTCCTTGTCCTTTTCATTCAACTAATTAATTCATTATGAAATACACACAATTCAAACTATGGAGGAATATACCTGAATACCATGTCTTTTTCGATTGAATTTATCCTATTGTAGATATTGACGACTGTTCTCCTAAGCCCTGTATGAATAGTGGGACATGTACGGATGGTGTCAACACTTATACCTGTACATGTGCTTCAGGTTATACTGGAATGAACTGCTCAACTAGTAAGTTAATTGTGTCATAATTCTCTGCAGACCACCCAAGAAATGCTGTCAAAAATTCTTCTTTTCCTAAACATTTATACCACCTTATGTCTATTTAGCTGTCTGAAGGACTAAATGTTCTTTCTTCAATTTATTGAGCATTCATGTAGATCTATATCTCCTCTCCTGAAGTTACCTTTTGATGGCAAAGCAAAAACAAGAAGTCATCTCGGTGCTCATTTTTTTTTGGTGAGGAAAAATTAATTCCTTTTATTATTCAGTTTAGCTTCTTCATTACAATCTTACTGTACGACAAAGAAAAATATTTGTTATAATGAAATAAACACAAATGATATTCTGGAAAACTATATCATGTATCCTTGAATGTTTCATCGAACTAATCAAAACCATTACTCTCACTTCATGAATTGTGATGAAATACACACATTTCATAGAATGGAGGAATATATCGTTATCCGATGGCTTTTCCATTAACCCCATCTCCCCCACCCCCACTTTCCCATTGTAGATATTGACGACTGTGATCCGTATTCCTGTTTGAATGGTGGGACATGTGCAGATGGTGTCAACTCTCATACCTGTACATGTGCTTCAGGTTATACTGGCATGACCTGCTCGACGGGTAAATAAATTGTATTATAATTACCACATATGTTTGTCAAAATTACTCTTTTCTTACTTTCATATGCTTTTTTTGTCTACAAAGGGGACTGAAGGACTATATACATGACCATCCTCTAACTATTGAGCATACATGTAGATATATATCTCCTCTTCTTAAAGTTACTTTTCGATGGCATAGCAGTAACAAAAAGACATATCGGTGCTGCTTTGTATGTTTGTTGAGAACAAAAAAGTATTTTCTTTTATTATTAAGTTTAGCTTCCTAATTTCAATCTCATTGATTTATAAAGACAAATTATATCATGGAAAACTATAAGTCGTAATTCCTTGTACTTTTTATTTAACTGATTAATCCATTAATCTTATTATTTGACAAAGACAATATCATTCTAATGAAATACGCACAATTTATATTATGGAGGAATATATCTTAATCCCTTGTCTTTTCCATTAAAACAAATCACACTTTCCTATTGTAGATATTGACGACTGTGAACCTAAGCCCTGTTTGAATGGTGGAACATGTACAGATGGGTTGAACTCGTATGCGTGTACATGCGCTCTAGGTTATACTGGAATGAGCTGCTCAACGGGTAAGTATTTTATGTTTAAATTATCTGAAGACCATCAAATAAATTGTGACAGAAATTCTTCTTTTCCTAAATGTTCATACCACTTAATGTCTACAAAAGTATTTGAAGCACTACATGTTCTTTCTTTAATTGATTGTGTATATATATAGATCTTTAACTCCTATCCTGAAAGTAACCTTTTGATAATGCCGCTTTTTATTGTCTGCTTTTACAGATGACGAAGCACCTACTCTGAATTGCCAAAATGTAACTTCAACTACGGATTGGGGACTAAATTCATCTTCAACTGTTGATTTCATGCCAAATGCAACTGACAATGTTGATGCAGATCCTTATGTGACTTGTTCCCATTCACCTGAACATGAATTCATGATTGGCATTACAACTGTAAATTGCTCGTCTACTGATGATGCCCGAAACACTGGCAGGTGCATTCTTTCTGTTACAGTCACAGGTAATGATATTTAGGTTGGTTTTAAAACCTAAGCAACCTATTCAAATCTAGGGTTAAAGGTTAAAGAGGATTGAAAAGTGTTGCTCTTTAAGATTTGTTGTCATTTATTTAAAATGCCGCTTTTTATTGTCTGCTTTTACAGATGACGAAGCACCTACTCTGAATTGCCAAAATGTAACTTCAACTACGGATTGGGGACTAAATTCATCTTCAACTGTTGATTTCATGCCAAATGCAACTGACAATGTTGATGCAGATCCTAATGTGACTTGTTCCCATTCACCTGAACATGAATTCATGATTGGCATTACAACTGTAAATTGCTCGTCTACTGATGATGCCCGCAACACTGGCAGGTGCATTCTTTCTGTTACAGTCACAGGTAATGATGTTTGACTTTGTTTTAAAACCTGAACATGAATTCATGATTGGCATTACAACTGTAAATTGCTCGTCTACTGATGATGCCCGCAACACTGGCAGGTGCATTCTTTCTGTTACAGTCACAGGTAATGATGTTTGACTTTGTTTTAAAACCTGAACAACCTATTCAAATCTGGTGTAAAAGGTTAAAGAGGATTGAAAAGTTTTGCTCTAAAAGATTTTTTTTCATTTATCTATGATGCCACTTTTTATTGTCTGCTTTTACAGATGACGAAGCACCTACTCTGAATTGCCAAAATGTAACTTCAACTACGGATTGGGGACTAAATTCATCTTCAACTGTTGATTTCATGCCAAATGCCACTGACAATATTGATGCAGATCCTAATGTGACTTGTTCCCATTCACCTGAACATGAATTCATGATTGGCATTACAACTGTAAATTGCTCGTCTACTGATGATGCCCGCAACACTGGCAGATGCATTCTTTCTGTTACAGTCACAGGTAATGATATTTAGGTTGGTTTTAAAACCTAAGCAACCTATTCAAATCTGGTGTTAAAGGTTAAAGAGGATTGAAAAGTGTTGCTCTTTAAGATTTGCTGTCATTTATTTAAAATGCCGCTTTTTATTGTCTGCTTTTACATATGACGAAGCCCCTACTCTGAATTGCCAAAATGTAACTTCAACTACGGATTGGGGACTAAATTCATCTTCAACTGTTGATTTCATGCCAAATGCAACTTACAATGTTGATGCAGATCCTAATGTGACTTGTTCCCATTCACCTGAACATGAATTCATGATTGGCATTACAACTGTAAATTGCTCGTCTACTCATGATGCCCGCAACACTGGCAGATGCTTTCTTTCTGTTACAGTCACATTTAATGATGTTTGACTTTGTTTTAAAACCTGAACAACCTATTCAAATCTGGTGTAAAAGGTTAAAGAGGATTGAAAAGTTTTGCTCTTCAAGATTTTTTTTCATTTATCTATGATGCCACTTTTTATTGTCTGCTTTTACAGATGACAAAGCACCTACTCTGAATTGCCAAAATGTAACTTCAACTACGGATTGGGGACTAAATTCATCTTCAACTGTTGATTTCATGCCAAATGCAACTGACAATGTTGATGCAGATCCTAATGTGACTTGTTCCCATTCACCTGAACATGAATTCATGATTGGCATTACAACTGTAAATTGCTCGTCTACTGATGATGCCCGCAACACTGGCAGATGCATTCTTTCTGTTACAGTCACAGGTAATGATATTTAGGTTGGTTTTAAAACCTAAGCAACCTATTCAAATCTGGTGTTAAAGGTAATAGAGGATTGAAAAGTGTTGCTCTTTAAGATTTGTTGTCGTTTATTTAAAATGCCGCTTTTTATTGTCTGCTTTTACAGATGACGAAGCACCTACTCTGAATTGCCAAAATGTAACTTCAACTACGGATTGGGGACTAAATTCATCTTCAACTGTTGATTTCATGCCAAATGCAACTGACAATATTGATGCAGATCCTAATGTGACTTGTTCCCATTCACCTGAACATGAATTCATGATTGGCATTACAACTGTAAATTGCTCGTCTACTGATGATGCCCGAAACACTGGCAGGTGCATTCTTCCTGTTACAGTCACAGGTAATGATATTTAAGTTTGTTTTAAAACCTTAACAACCTAGTCAAATCTGGTGTAAAAGGTTAAAGAGGATTGAACAGTTTTGCTCTTCAGGATTTTTTTTCATTTATCTATGATGCCACTTTTTATTGTCTGCTTTTACAGATGACGAAGCACCTACTCTGAATTGCCGAAATGTAACTTCAACTACGGATTGGGGACTAAATTCATCTTCAACTGTTGATTTCATGCCAAATGCAACTGACAATGTTGATGCAGATCCTAATGTGACTTGTTGCCATTCACCTGAACATGAATTCATGATTGGCATTACAACTGTAAATTGCTCGTCTACTGATGATGCCCGCAACATTGGCAGATGCATTCTTTCTGTTACAGTCACAGGTAATGATATTTAGGTTGGTTTTAAAACCTAAGCAACCTATTCAAATCTAGGGTTAAAGGTTAAAGAGGATTGAAAAGTGTTGCTCTTTAAGATTTGTTGTCATTTATTTAAAATGCCGCTTTTTATTGTCTGCTTTTACAGATGACGAAGCACCTACTCTGAATTGCCAAAATGTAACTTCAACTACGCAATGGGGACTAAATTCATCTTCAACTGTTGATTTCATGCCAAATGCAACTGACAATGTTGATGCAGATCCTAATGTGACTTGTTCCCATTCACCTGAACATGAATTCATGATTGGCATTACAACTGTAAATTGCTCGTCTACTGATGATGCCCGAAACACTGGCAGGTGCATTCTTTCTGTTACAGTCACAGGTAATGATATTTAAGTTTGTTTTAAAACCTTAGCAACCTAGTCAAATCTGGTGTAAAGGGTTAAAGAGGATTGAAAAATTTTGCTCCTCAAGATTTTTTTTCATTTATTTATGAGGCCACTTTTTATTGTCTGCTTTTACAGATGACGAAGCACCTACTCTGAATTGCCAAAATGTAACTTCAACTACGGATTGGGGACTAAATTCATCTTCAACTGTTGATTTCATGCCAAATGCAACTGACAATGTTGATGCAGATCCTAATGTGACTTGTTCCCATTCACCTGAACATGAATTCATGATTGGCATTACAACTGTAAATTGCTCGTCTACTGATGATGCCCGAAACACTGGCAGGTGCATTCTTTCTGTTACAGTCACAGGTAATGATATTTAAGTTGGTTTTAAAACCTAAGCAACCTATTCAAATCTGGTGTAAAGGGTTTAAAGAGGATTGAAAAGTTTTGCTCTTCAAGATTTGTTGTCATTTATTTATAATGCCGTTTTTTATTGTCTGCTTTTACAGATGACGAAGCACCTACTCTGAATTGCCAAAATGTAACTTCAACTACGGATTGGGGACTAAATTCATCTTCAACTGTTGATTTCATGCCAAATGCAACTGACAATGTTGATGCAGATCCTAATGTGACTTGTTCCCATTCACCTGAACATGAATTCATGATTGGCATTACAACTGTAAATTGCTCGTCTACTGATGATGCACGAAACACTGGCAGGTGCATTCTTTCTGTAACAGTCACAGGTAATGATATTTAAGTTGGTTTTAAAACCTAAGCAACCTAGTCAAATCTGGTGTAAAGGGTTTAAAGAGGATTGAAAAGTTTTGCTCTTCAAGATTTTTTTTCATTTATTTATGAGGCCACTTTTTAATGTCTGCTTTTACAGATGACGAAGCACCTACTCTGAATTGCCAAAATGTAACTTCAACTACGGATTGGGGACTAAATTCATCTTCAACTGTTGATGTCATGCCAAATGCAACTGACAATGTTGATGCAGATCCTAATGTGACTTGTTCCCATTCACCTGAACATGAATTCATGATTGGCATTACAACTGTAAATTGCTCGTCTACTGATGATGCACGAAACACTGGCAGGTGCATTCTTTCTGTAACAGTCACAGGTAATGATATTTAAGTTGGTTTTAAAACCTAAGCAACCTATTCAAATATGGTGTTAAAGGTAAAAGAGGATTGAAAAGTGTTGCTCTTTAAGATTTGTTGTCATTTATTTATAATGCCGTTTTTTATTGTCTGCTTTTACAGATGACGAAGCACCTACTCTGAATTGCCAAAATGTAACTTCAACTACGGATTGGGGACTAAATTCATCTTCAACTGTTGATTTCATGCCAAATGCAACTGACAATGTTGATGCAGATCCTAATGTGACTTGTTCCCATTCACCTGGACATGAATTCATGATTGGCATTACAACTGTAAATTGCTCGTCTACTGATGATGCCCGAAACACTGGCAGGTGCATTCTTCCTGTTACAGTCACAGGTAAAGATATTCAAGTTTGTTTTAAAACCTTAGCAACCTAGTCAAATCTGGTGTAAAGGGTTTAAAGAGGATTGAAAAGTTTTGCTCTTCAAGATTTTTTTTCATTTATTTATGAGGCCACTTTTTAATGTCTGCTTTTACAGATGACGAAGCACCTACTCTGAATTGCCAAAATGTAACTTCAACTACGGATTGGGGACTAAATTCATCTTCAACTGTTGATTTCATGCCAAATGCAACTGACAATGTTGATGCAGATCCTAATGTGACTTGTTCCCATTCACCTGAACATGAATTCATGATTGGCATTACAACTGTAAATTGCTCGTCTACTGATGATGCCCGAAACACTGGCAGGTGCATTCTTTCTGTAACAGTCACAGGTAATGATATTTAAGTTGGTTTTAAAACCTAAGCAACCTATTCAAATATGGTGTTAAAGGTAAAAGAGGATTGAAAAGTGTTGCTCTTTAAGATTTGTTGTCATTTATTTAAAATGCCGTTTTTTATTGTCTGCTTTTACAGATGACGAAGCACCTACTCTGAATTGCCAAAATGTAACTTCAACTACGCAATGGGGACTAAATTCATCTTCAACTGTTGATTTCATGCCAAATGCAACTGACAATGTTGATGCAGATCCTAATGTGACTTGTTCCTATTCACCTGAACATGAATTCATGATTGGCATTACAACTGTAAATTGCTCGTCTACTGATGATGCCCGAAACACTGGCAGGTGCATTCTTTCTGTTACAGTCACAGGTAAAGATATTCAAGTTTGTTTTAAAACTTTAGCAACCTAGTCAAATCTGGTGTAAAGGGTTTAAAGAGGATTGAAAAGTTTTGCTCTTCAAGATTTTTTTTCATTTATTTATGAGGCCACTTTTTAATGTCTGCTTTTACAGATGACTAAGCACCTACTCTGAATTGCCAAAATGTAACTTCAACTACGGATTGGGGAGTAAATTCATCTTCAACTGTTGATTTCATGCCAAATGCAACTGACAATGTTGATGCAGATCCTAATGTGACTTGTTCCCATTCACCTGAACATGAATTCATGATTGGCATTACAACTGTAAATTGCTCGTCTACTCATGATGCACGAAACACTGGCAGGTGCATTCTTTCTGTAACAGTCACAGGTAATGATATTTAAGTTGGTTTTAAAACCTAAGCAACCTATTCAAATATGGTGTTAAAGGTAAAAGAGGATTGAAAAGTGTTGCTCTTTAAGATTTGTTGTCATTTATTTAAAATGCCGTTTTTTATTGTCTGCTTTTACAGATGACGAAGCACCTACTCTGAATTGCCAAAATGTAACTTCAACTACGGATAGGGGACTAAATTCATCTTCAACTGTTGATTTCATGCCAAATGCAACTGACAATGTTGATGCAGATCCTAATGTGACTTGTTCCCATTCACCTGGACATGAATTCATGATTGGCATTACAACTGTAAATTGCTCGTCTACTGATGATGCCCGAAACACTGGCAGGTGCATTCTTCCTGTTACAGTCACAGGTAAAGATATTCAAGTTTGTTTTAAAACCTTAGCAACCTAGTCAAATCTGGTGTAAAGGGTTTAAAGAGGATTGAAAAGTTTTGCTCTTCAAGATTTTTTTTCATTTATTTATGAGGCCACTTTTTAATGTCTGCTTTTACAGATGACGAAGCACCTACTCTGAATTGCCAAAATGTAACTTCAACTACGGATTGGGGACTAAATTCATCTTCAACTGTTGATTTCATGCCAAATGCAACTGACAATGTTGATGCAGATCCTAATGTGACTTGTTGCCATTCACCTGAACATGAATTCATGATTGGCATTACAACTGTAAATTGCTCGTCTACTGATGATGCCCGAAACACTGGCAGGTGCATTCTTTCTGTAACAGTCACAGGTAATGATATTTAAGTTGGTTTTAAAACCTAAGCAACCTATTCAAATATGGTGTTAAAGGTAAAAGAGGATTGAAAAGTGTTGCTCTTTAAGATTTGTTGTCATTTATTTAAAATGCCGTTTTTTATTGTCTGCTTTTACAGATGACGAAGCACCTACTCTGAATTGCCAAAATGTAACTTCAACTACGCAATGGGGACTAAATTCATCTTCAACTGTTGATTTCATGCCAAATGCAACTGACAATGTTGATGCAGATCCTAATGTGACTTGTTCCCATTCACCTGAACATGAATTCATGATTGGCATTACAACTGTAATATGCTCGTCTACTGATGATGCCCGAAACACGGGCAGGTGCATTCTTTCTGTTACAGTCACAGGTAATGATATTTAAGTTTGTTTTAAAACCTTAGCAACCTAGTCAAATCTGGTGTAAAGGGTTAAAGGGGATTGAAAAATTTTGCTCCTCAAGATTTTTTTTTCATTTATTTATGAGGCCCCTTTTTATTGTCTGCTTTTACAGATGACGAAGCACCTACTCTGAATTGCCAAAATGTAACTTCAACTACGGATTGGGGACTAAATTCATCTTCAACTGTTGATTTCATGCCAAATGCAACTGACAATGTTGATGCAGATCCTAATGTGACTTGTTCCCATTCACCTGAACATGAATTCATGATTGGCATTACAACTGTAAATTGCTCGTCTACTGATGATGCCCGAAACACTGGCAGGTGCATTCTTTCTGTAACAGTCACAGGTAATGATATTTAAGTTGGTTTTAAAACCTAAGCAACCTATTCAAATCTGGTGTTAAAGGTTAAAGAGGATTGAAAAGTGTTGCTCTACAAAATTTGTTGTCATTTATTTAAAATGCCGCTTTTTATTGTCTGCTTTTACAGATGACGAAGCACCTACTCTGAATTGCCAAAATGTAACTTCAACTACGCAATGGGGACTAAATTCATCTTCAACTGTTGATTTCATGCCAAATGCAACTGACAATGTTGATGCAGATTCTAATGTGACTTGTTCCCATTCACCTGAACATGAATTCATGATTGGCATTACAACTGTAAATTGCTCGTCTACTGATGATGCCCGAAACACTGGCAGGTGCATTCTTTCTGTAACAGTCACAGGTAATGATATTTAAGTTGGTTTTAAAACCTAAGCAACCTATTCAAATATGGTGTTAAAGGTAAAAGAGGATTGAAAAGTGTTGCTCTTTAAGATTTGTTGTCATTTATTTAAAATGCCGTTTTTTATTGTCTGCTTTTACAGATGACGAAGCACCTACTCTGAATTGCCAAAATGTAACTTCAACTACGGATTGGGGACTAAATTCATCTTCAACTGTTGATTTCATGCCAAATGCAACTGACAATGTTGATGCAGATCCTAATGTGACTTGTTCCCATTCACCTGGACATGAATTCATGATTGGCATTACAACTGTAAATTGCTCGTCTACTGATGATGCCCGAAACACTGGCAGGTGCATTCTTTCTGTTACAGTCACAGGTAATGATATTTAAGTTTGTTTTAAAACCTTAACAACCTAGTCAAATCTGGTGTAAAAGGTTAAAGAGGATTGAACAGTTTTGCTCTTCAGGATTTTTTTTCATTTATCTATGATGCCACTTTTTATTGTCTGCTTTTACAGATGACGAAGCACCTACTCTGAATTGCCGAAATGTAACTTCAATTACGGATTGGGGACTAAATTCATCTTCAACTGTTGATTTCATGCCAAATGCAACTGACAATGTTGATGCAGATCCTAATGTGACTTGTTCCCATTCACCTGAACATGAATTCATGATTGGCATTACAACTGTAAATTGCTCGTCTACTGATGATGCCCGTTACACTGGCAGATGCATTCTTTCTGTTACAGTCACATTTAATGATGTTTGACTTTGTTTTAAAACCTGAACAACCTATTCAAATCTGGTGTAAAAGGTTAAAGAGGATTGAAAAGTGTTGCTCTTCAAGATTTGTTGTCATTTATTTAAAATGCCGCTTTTTATTGTCTGCTTTTACAGATGACGAAGCACCTACTCTGAATTGCCAAAATGTAACTTCAACTACGGATTGGGGACTAAATTCATCTTCAACTGTTGATTTCATGCCAAATGCAACTGACAATGTTGATGCAGATCCTAATGTGACTTGTTCCCATTCACCTGAACATGAATTCATGATTGGCATTACAACTGTAAATTGCTCGTCTACTGATGATGCCCGCAACACTGGCAGATGCATTCTTTCTGTTACAGTCACATTTAATGATATTTACGTTGGTTTTAAAACCTAAGCAACCTATTCAAATCTGGTGTTAAAGGTTAAAGAGGATTGAAAAGTGTTGCTCTACAAGATTTGTTGTCATTTATTTAAAATGCCGCTTTTTATTGTCTGCTTTTACAGATGACGAAGCACCTACTCTGAATTGCCAAAATGTAACTTCAACTACGGATTGGGGACTAAATTCATCTTCAACTGTTGATTTCATGCCAAATGCAACTGACAATGTTGATGCAGATCCTAATGTGACTTGTTCCCATTCACCTGAACATGAATTCATGATTGGCATTACAACTGTAAATTGCTCGTCTACTGATGATGCCCGCAACACTGGCAGGTGCATTCTTTCTGTAACAGTCACAGGTAATGATATTTAAGTTGGTTTTAAAACCTAAGCAACCTATTCAAAAATGGTGTTAAAGGTAAAAGAGGATTGAAAAGTGTTGCTCTTTAAGATTTGTTGTCATTTGTTTAAAATGCCGCTTTTTATTGTCTGCTTTTACAGATGACGAAGCACCTACTCTGAATTGCCAAAATGTAACTTCAACTACGGATTGGGGACTAAATTCATCTTCAACTGTTGATTTCATGCCAAATGCAACTGACAATGTTGATGCAGATCCTAATGTGACTTGTTCCCATTCACCTGAACATGAATTCATGATTGGCATTACAACTGTAAATTGCTCGTCTACTGATGATGCCCGCAACACTGGCAGGTGCATTCTTTTTGTAACAGTCACAGGTAATGATATATAAGTTTGTTTTAAAACTTAAACAACCTAGTCAAATCTGGTGTAAAGGGTTAAAGAGGATTGAAAAGTGTTGCTCTTCAAGATTTGTTGTCATTTATTTTATATAAAGATCTTTATCTCCTATCCTGAAAGTTACCTTTTGATAACAAAGCAGGCACCAGAAATCATCTCGATGCTATTTTGTATATCGTTTTTAAAGAAAAAGTATTTCTTTCATAAGTTAGTTAAGCTCCTAATTCAATCTCATTGATTCATAAACAAAAATAATATTATGGAAAACTATATTTCGTTATTTTTTTTTTTTTTTTTTATTTGACTTTCATTTCATGACAAAAACAGTCGGAAGTGGAATAAAAATTCACACGATTCATTTTATGGAGGAATATATCTTAATCCCTTGTCTTTTCCATTAAAACAAATCACACTTTCCTATTGTAGATATTGACGACTGTGAACCTAAGACCTGTTTGAATGGTGGAACATGTACAGATGGGTTGAACTCGTATGCGTGTACATGCGCTCTAGGTTATACTGGAATGAACTGCTCAATAGGTTAGTATTTTTTGTTTAAATTATCTGAAGACCATCAAATAAATTGTGACAGAAATTCTTCTTTTCCTAAATGTTCATACCACTTAATGTCTACAAAAGTGTTTGAAGCACAACATGTTCTTTCTTTAATTGATTGTGTATATATATATAGATCTTTATCTCCTATCCTGAAAGTTACCTTTTGATAACAAAGCAGGCACCAGAAATTATCTCGATGCTTTTTTGTATATCGTTTTTAAAGAAAAAGTATTTGTTTCATAAGTTAGTTAAGCTCCTAATTCAATCTCATTGATTTATAAACAAAAATAATATTATGGAAAACTATATTTCGTAATTTCCTTCTTTTTTTTTTATTTAACTTTTATTTCATGACAAAAACAGTCGGAAGTGGAATAAAAATTCACACGATTCGTGTTATGGAGGAATATATCTTAATCCCTTGTCTTTTCCATTAAAAAAAAATCACACTTTCCTATTGTAGATATTGACGACTGCAAACCTAAGCCCTGTTTGAATGGTGGAACATGTACAGATGGGTTGAACTCGTATGCGTGTACATGTGCTCTAGGTTATACTGGAATGAACTGCTCAACGGGTAAGTATTCTATGTTTAAATTATCTGAAGACCACCTAATAAATTGTGACAGAAATTCTTCTTTTCCTAAATGTTCATACCACTTAATGTCTACAAAAGTGTCTGAAGCACTACATGTTCTTTCTTTAATTTATTGTGTTTATATATAGATCTTTATCTCCTATCCTGAAAGTTACCTTTTAATAACAAAGCAGGCACCAGAAATCATCTCGATGCTTTTTTGTATATCGTTATTAAAGAAAAAGTATTTGTTTGAATCTTGTTGCCCTTGATTACATAGTTGTAATCTGACCTAATCTCGGCACCATTTTGTATCTTTTAGAGGAACACCATTTGTAAAAGTAATTAAGTTTAGTAATTTAGTAATTTAGCTTTTAAATTGCACATTACATAGAGAGAGTGGATGTAAGTATGAGAGGGGAGAAGAGAGCGGTTGTAAGACAGATCAAATACAATGGGAATATCCATGATGATTGTCGGTTATTTGATTGTTAATAGTTCCAGAATTCTTCCCCCTTATTTAGTTTCAGAAATCTACGAGTGTGCCAGTCGTCCATGTCTGAACGGTGCTACCTGCAATGACTTGTTGAACATGTATACTTGCACTTGTGTACCGGGCTACATTGGAAGCACTTGTGAGACAGGTAATTTACCTTAGAAATTCAAAGGGATTTTCTTCAAAATATATACATATTCACGAAGAGCAATGAAGCAAATTCTGACAATGAATATGGCTCTGAAGCTAGAGACACAAGGTTGTCCCAGAATATTTTAACAAACATCTAAAAACAATGCTACATGGTTATCTAAATCCGTGGATGTTCCATGTGGGAGTGGGAGTAAGTATTCAACCTGAAGTTACGACAACTGAACAGACATGAACAAGAGGCAGGGTACGGCTTCTTGAAATGTTATGGTCTAAAAAGATGCTTTTGGATAGTATCATTTGATTGCATACAGGGTTCATAATTCAGTAGGATTTAAAGCTAGTTTCCCCCTCCCCTCTTTGAAGCAATACAATATTTCCTTGGTTAATTACAGAACTAGGGCCAATCCAAGCACTATCTTCACCGACAAGTCTCACGATAAACGCTTTTGAACGTGCCGAGATGATGTGTAGCTTTGAGAATGCGATTCGGTTTGAATGGCAGAAGGATAACGTAACGATCCCTGGAACTGAAAACCAGCGTGTATACACCATCGAATCAGTGACCCCTGCACATATCGGATACTACCGCTGTCAAGGTGAAGGCAGGAATCAGAATGGTGCTAGTACCGTGGTTTTTACTGATCAGGCTGCTGTTTACATCAAAGGTAGATTTTATTTCCATCTTTCTTAGATTTCGTGAATTAAGTACATGATTATAACTCTATTGAATCATGGAGCTTCTGGTTATTAAACAACGTCGTCGAGATTATTTGAACTCGATTTTGTTTGGAATTATTCATCAAGGTTCGTCAACAGTGTTTTCTCTATGATGCACATTAATCATTCGCCATAATGGCGAGGTTCTTGTTTTGTATTCTAATCAATGCAGCATGCACGTTATACCAATCATTGCTTCTTTTCTTCTTTTTTTTTCTTCAGATTTATCTAACATAATAATCGATAATGTCAGATTTAATATCAACGTCACTTCATCCGGGAATCTGTCAGACATTACATCTCAATATTACCAGGATGCTGCGGAAATGATCACAAATTACGTAAGAATTATTCGTTTCAGAAATTAATAGATTCTAAATTTGAAATATTAGTTGAATCATCAGTATTGAAGAATATATTACAACATCACTCTACTACAAAATTGGAAAGCGGGCAGTGTGTTCTATTGTTTATTTTTTAAGCGTGACTTAATTTTATTCCGAAGTATTTCCTCATATATATATATATATATATATTTAACTCTCCCGATGAACAGAAGGGATTGATCTTATGACAAAACGAGAGATGAATATTTTCAAAATCTAGGATTGATTCTTTCACCATGCCTTTCTACCGTATCATTTCTTTATGTACATCCGTTTTACAATGCTGCAAAAAGTAGCATATCACTATAACTAGAAACGATTACCTCACCATTAAAATACTCTTGATAAGAACGAAAACAAAATTATAGCAGATGTTTCTGCATTTATTGATAAATCAAATATAAAATATTCAAATAAACAATAATAGTATATAACATAATTGATTTACATAAAGAGTGACAACTTAAATACACATACACACAATATATATATGATTGAAAGCTTGAAAGTATGGAGGTAAGTAAAAATAATCAAGATAAATGCAGAGGCCAACTATCATAAGCAAGAATGCTTGAGTTGATAGCAGCCGGGAAAGGGGGGGGGGTACATGGCGCTCTTATAGGAGTATGTAGGAGAATAGAGTGTTACGTATAAAGATTTTGTTCAGAAAGTATCTAAATAAAAAGTGGACAAAAATTAAAGAAATACAAAATTGCAAGTGTGTACAAGTGGGTGTGTGCAGGTAAAGATAATTAGATAATTAAATTTGCAGCAAGTCGTAATAATTATTATATTTGGACAACGTTATACGTCCTGCTTTGAGCACCAATCCTCCCGTTTTGAATGTATAGGTTTAACGTATTATTCGCCTCATTAAAACATTCTACATGTAATCTTCTCCCTTCTCTTCATCCGCCTTTCCTGTTCTTTTCCTGATTTTTTCACTTCAATTTTGACCTTTTCCCTTCTCTTCTCAATGACTTCTACCTTTACTTTTTCTTCTTTATTTTCCTTCGGACGGACAATTAGTCAATCGGATTAATTTTAATCAAGTTACTTGTGATTCCCATTTGCCATGTCAAATCGAATATCATTCGTTTGTACCTTGTGATGTTGATGTGGTATTGTTAATATGTGTTGTTGTATGCGTTTTGTTTTTGTTTGTCGAGAGTTTGTACATTGCAGCCCCGGCTGCGAGACAGATTTTGAAGAAATATACCTTGAAATGCAATAGGTGAATGTAAATTATAGTTCATCCTTTCATGAATTTGAAACTTATCCTTTTCTTGAATTGCTCATGATAAATCCTAGGTTCAAACGGGCATGGTGGAGACAGGTAATTTTGAGGGAAATCCGTTGTACGTGGTACCCTCCAACCTTCGCGAGGGAAGCATCATTGCTAACCTAAATATGTACGTCGTAGACAACGAGACGTCTTCTTTCCGGATTCAACAAAGTGTCGAAGAATCCTTCCTCGTCTTGTCGTCCCGGCCGGACGGAATACTTGACGCATCTACCGTCAGGGTCATCAGTACCTGTGAGTTTCAAAAGCATTTGTTAATTCCCCGTTATTTTTGTTATCTAGTCATAATAGCTTTTGTCGATACCCTAACTTTTTACTTCTGGATTTATTTCGTCAAAATTATAGGGTTACGGTTCAGATTGGAATTTGGATGTCTGAGGCCCATTTAACAGACATCAAAGCTCTGTAGCAGCTGTAATGCGACCATTATCGTATAATAATCTGATCACCAAGGCGTAAAAGGTCTTGTAAATTGAATGATTATCATTTTTTGAAAATTGAACTTCACTCTTTGAAAGTCATTCAACTAGCCTAAATTTCACATGTATCCTCTGTTTTCACTGCAGCAATCTGTCCCAATTTTACTTGGGTGTCAAGATTCGGTGAGGCTCACTTCGCAGAGGGAGAATTGAATTTACGGTATAATTCAACAGGACGATATTGTCCCTTCAATACAACTAATGGTAATGATGAAAATAATAGATGATGATGTTAATAACTGTAAATGCAGTTTATATAGCGAAATTTCTACACAGGAATAGCTTGTTCTTAACAAACAAAACATGGTGAATAACACTCAGGGGGAGCAGTATACTCAATCGTTTTAAATAGCAGAATTGTAAAATGTAATACAAGTATTGAGTCACCAGCTTAATAATAAGGTGTTTTAATAGAATTTCGTTTCTTATTTACAAGAAAGTCTAAAGAGACCTTTTTTAAGTGTGAAAATGTCACCTTTCTTTGCAGTAATGCTTAGATGGACACAAGGATTTTTTTCTTCCATTTCTTCATCATGTTCTTGTTATATCAATAGCTTAATGCAGTATGTGATTAGTTATTGGGTATGTTGTACGATTTTATTTTAATACTATTTCCGTTTTCGTCCCGCGATGGTAGCGCACCAGTCTGTTGCTACAGCCCTGTGTGTTGGAGACAGGATTAGCAGAGCCGTATGGGTCCCTGGAAATAACTGTGGCAATGTCAGGAATGTAACAGAGCTGTTAAAAGAAATTGATAATGTAAGACCTACGTTTTAATACTTTATATTACTCTTAAAACTAGAATTTCTGTGAGAATCTATTGTACTTTCAATTCTAATGAAATTTCTTTGGTAATTCTTATCAGTATTTTCTTCCACAAAACAAAGTTTTATTTAGACAATCTTTCTCTTTAAAACAAAAAAAAAAGGAATGCTTTTAATATATGTACACATTTTCGTGCAATGTTTTAGTTGGTCCGTTAATTCCAAATGATAGTTTCTCATCCTCTTTATCCTCTTTATTGTTGATCTCTTTGAAACTGATTTCAGTCACAGTCCATCCGGAAATATATACATTGGGCAGGCTTTAAAATGTGTTATATTGTGGTGTGTCTTTCTAAATAATTCCTTTATAATTCAATACCACAAATAATTTCAAGCATATCCTGTACAAACATGATTGTAATGACTTTCGAGAAATAAACTCCAAGGCGTTAATTCCATACCACAGATATCATGTTCGGATTACGTGTTACATGTCACATTGCGAAAAAAGTGACGGAGAAAACTATCAAATTCGACTGATCTTTTAAAAGACTATGCGATTGTGTTTGTCATACATATTTACAGGTTGAGATCACGCAGGAAACGGTTGAGGACATTACAGATCAAGTTGCGATCATTACAACAAATACTGGAGAAATCACCGCCTCGGATGTCACTCTAGTTTCAAACATTGCCACAGTAGTAGCAGCTCAAAACAACAGTGGAACAGAGGTGAGCATTGCCTTATTCTTTGATCGGTAGTTTCTTTAAAAAGTAATCAAATTTAAATTTCCCTGGCGTATATTCATATTTCGCAGAAGTCATGGATGACCTCAAAGCGAAATGTTTGTTGCATTAGGATCTTAGAAATCATTAAGTGGTATTCGTAAAATATGATGTCATTGGAAATAATTCTGGAGCTATGCATTACGTTTTTGAAGGTTATAAATGTAGGAAAGGAAACCCCTTGGGAATTATGATCTTAGCGAAGAGGATCTGGATGATGTTATCTCGCCTTCAATGTTTGTTGTTTTTTGCCATTTTGTATACGTCCCCGTCCTGCAGTAACGTGGACTAACATTAGATCATATATTCTTATATTGATATTACAATATATATAAATATATGTTTATACATTTCCTACGAACATCATTTAAGATCAAGTTTTAAACTTGTAATGCTTGGATGGGCAAATTCATTTAAATGTTACAAGTTCTAATTAAGAAAGTTGCACAAATAGAGCAAGTTACCATCCAATTGTAAATGAACATGTGCATCTGTTAGACATTCCTTTTCAACGATAAAAACAAGGAATGAGACAAAATTAGGAGGATTGAGCTTTGGGTGTCACCTGTAGTCTCAGAAGCACGGTCAAGATGTCTCTGCTTTCCACCCAAGGTCGTGAACGAGCCATATGATACCTCAAATGCTCATCATAATTTGAATGGTCAGATGCCACATTTTTGCAATTTTCTTTCAGAGACTCATTTATTGTTAAATGGCCATGCTCACTCATGCATGTTTGGTAGGCTTGCATATTATATTAGGGAGGATTGATTTATATTCATGTTGATAGATGAAAGATAAATTTATATTGAATATTCATTTGAAAATATAAACTGTCAATACTTTCCACTTCTTTTCTTTTCGTTTCGTTTTCTCTGAGTGTATTATCTTACAAGGAACACTTTTTTTGTCATGTTATCATGTTTATCAAGTTTACTGCTACGGTGGCGAGCATTGTCAGCAACATTGCCTCGGTTGACATGACCGAGCTCCAGCAGGCAGAAGAAACCACCAATGCGATCTCAAACATCCTCATGGCCTACGAGACGCAGCTCAACAACGTCCAGGTTGCAGAAGGAGAACCGTTCGATGCAGCGGAGCAAAACATAGCCGTTCAGGTATTAAGTCATTCATCACCAAATCATGTCATATCCAAGGTTTATTACAGGATTCACCCGGTTACTATACGTAACAGTTTATTAAAGCGAATGCTATTCTGTAAGAAAAGTTTATACCTATACCTTGTTGCAGTGTGAACGCAATTTTGTTTGGTGGAAGAATGAGTAACACGAAGGGACTGAACTCCAAATTGACATATTACACGATATTCTCTTCTACCTGTCTTTCTATTTAAGAGGTGGACTATATATATACATGTTTATATACATATATATATATATATACACTGTCGCTCATAAAGGTGGAATATTTTAGTTTTACCCCAATTTATGGAATTATTTAAAAAATTATTTAAAAATAATAGATCTCGATAATAGTATACATTCTCAAATTGTATTGAATAATAATTTGCCAATGTGTGTTTTGCGGGACTGCTAAAGCATGTATATGCTACTTTGCTTATTAACTATGGGACCTACGCCCTCAAGTCATAAATGACAGTAATGAGGATTAATGCCCCACAAAAGGGCACTAATTTAGCACATCGACATGGTTTTGATCCTGGGGCCTCACAGTTACGAGGCCATTGCTTTGTCACTGAACCTTGACTGTACGCAGCGGGGGCTAGGGCAGGGGGCAGTTTCCATAAATAAAAAAACAAACAGAAAATGCAATAAATGTTCAATAATTTATTGCATTTTACCCCGGTCCCCAACATAAAAAAATCCTCTGAAGGGCAATGCATTATGGCTCAAGGCATCGGCACACAGAATTTTTTTTCATGTTGGGAACCGGGGTAAAATGCAATAAATTATTTTTAAAAAATTGTATTTCCTATGGGTTTTTTTTATTTATGGAAACTGCCCCCTGCCCTAGCCCCTGCTGCGTAAAGTCATGGTTCAGTGACAAAGCAATGGCCTCGTGACTGTGAGGCCCCAGGATCAAAACCGTGTCGAAGTGCTATATTAGTACACTTTTGTGGGGCATTAACCCTCATTATTGTCATTTATGACTTAAGGGCATAGGTCCCCTAGTTGATAAGCATAGTAACATACACATGCTTTAGCAGTCACGCAAAACACACATTGGCAAATTATTATTCAATAAAATCTGAGAATGTATACTATTATATAGATCTATTATTTTTAAATAATTTTTTTAATAATTACATTAATTGGGATTTTAAAAAAATATTCCACCTTTATGAGCGACAGTGTATATATATATACCTCTTAAATCCTATATAGTCACAGACTTCTGATTCCAAAAATCATTAAGGTATTACTCATGAATATAAACATAATGATTTAAGTGTAAATCATAACGTGGCATTCACTACACCCGGCATACTGCATGGCACTATACTACATAACTATTTCCTTCTTTTTACAGAACATAAGGAAGCCATGTTTCAAAAGTAAACATTGCAACAAGGATCCCTGGGACAGTATAAAAAACTTAAAGAAATTCAAACTCGACATAATTTAGAAGAAGTATTTAGCTCGTAAATGGTGCCTGTAGATGCTGCATTAACATCATATAAACACACCAAGTGTAGAAACAAGTCGTACAACTCTTTTTTTTAAAGGTTCGGAGTGTACCCTCAGAAGAGCTCAATCAGGGGCTGGTCCTTTCCCTCTCCGGGGATAGTTCGAAAGACTTCTCTGGTTCCAACATTACCGTCAGAGCAGGAGGGGATACCCCTTCGGAAGGAACAAGTGTCGGACTTATAGCTGAGGTAATAGTCATCAAATATGATTACCTCTCTATAGAGACCACCTGTCTATAGTGACCACTTTCTCTGTGGCCCTAAAATGGTCGTAAGATAGACGTTTGACTTTCCTTGGTTTGTTGCAGAATTTGATGCATCGAAATTTATTTATTATGTTTAATTTAATGTTATATGATTTCGAAAATTGAACGCTTACAAAACTTTTTTTCTGGAAGTAATGTTTAAGTGAGACGGGACCTTAAAAAAAAAAAGATTCATAAAACCTCTACCAGCTTATATTTGTTGTCCCCATCCCACCTTTATTTTGTCATTACTGTTTATCTTCAATTATCATCTTTGCTAAAATTACGTGTATATTGTGGCAATAGAACTTATGCATTTTTTTTCTTTATTTCAATGAAATGTATGAAAAAAGGTAAGCGTTCCTCCTAAAATCGCTGACATCGTTTTAGGAGCTTCATCAGGCAACGTTAACAACACGAATATCAACATCATCATGAGTGTCTTCTCCACACCTGTTCTGTTCTTCTCACCGTCGCTTCTTAACTTCAGCAATGAGAACCCAGGTGTCAATCGGACCGCAAACACACCTGTCATTCTATTGAGTGTAGGTGGGGTGGTCGTTGCAGACCTAGACCAAGCGATTAACCTGACTTTTACTGCTTTGGTGGTGAGGAACTCTTCAGTATTTTGATAGAAAGAAACGTGTGTATATAACCTGTAGATAAGATTGAACTGCCGTTCGGAGTCAAACTTGACCATTCAGTTGTGCTCGAAGCAATTTAAATTCTGCATCGAAGAATGAGAATTGGAGACCGGAATTTGCGTTTGCCATAAAATGAAATTTATGACTTTAACAAATGACCCATACCTAATACTAAACCGAACACTTGTCATAAGTAGCTGTTAAAGTATTACAAGAGTATCCATGGACTTGCCATTTACATGGACTTTAACAACTGACCCATACTAATACTAAACCGAACACTTGTCATAAGTAGCGGTTAAAGTATTACAAGAGTATCCATGGACTTGCCATTTACATGGACTTTAACAACTGACCCATACATAATACTAAACCGAACACTTATCATAAGTAGCGGTTAAAGTATTACAAGAGTATCCATGGATTTGCCATTTACATGGACTTTAACAACTGACCCATACCTAATACTAAACCGAACACTTGTCATAAGTAGCGGTTAAAGTATTACAAGAGTATCCATGGACTTGCCATTTACATGGACTTTACCAACTGACCCATACCTAATACTAAACCGAACACTTGTCATAAGTAGCGGTTAAAGTATTACAAGAGTATCCATGGACTTGCCATTTACATGGACTTTACCAACTGACCCATACCTAATACTAAACCGAACACTTGTCATAAGTAGCGGTTAAAGTATTACAAGAGTATCCATGAACTTGCCAATTACATGGACTTTTACAACTGACCCATACCTAATACTAAACCCAACACTTATCATAAGTAGCGGTTAAAGTATTACAAGAGTATCCATGGACTTGCCATTTACATGGACTTTAACAACTGACCCATACATAATACTAAACCGAACACTTATCATAAGTAGCGGTTAAAGTATTACAAGAGTATCCATGGATTTGCCATTTACATGGACTTTAACAACTGACCCATACCTAATACTAAACCGAACACTTGTCATAAGTAGCGGTTAAAGTATTACAAGAGTATCCATGGACTTGCCATTTACATGGACTTTACCAACTGACCCATACCTAATACTAAACCGAACACTTGTCATAAGTAGCGGTTAAAGTATTACAAGAGTATCCATGGACTTGCCATTTACATGGACTTTACCAACTGACCCATACCTAATACTAAACCGAACACTTGTCATAAGTAGCGGTTAAAGTATTACAAGAGTATCCATGAACTTGCCAATTACATGGACTTTTACAACTGACCTATACCTAATACTAAACCCAACACTTATCATAAGTAGCGGTTAAAGTATTACAAGAGTATCCATGGACTTGCCATTTACATGGACTTTAACAACTGACCCATACCTAATACTAAACCGAACACTTATCATAAGTAGCGGTTAAAGTATTACAAGAGTATCCATGGACTTGCCCGTGAATCTATTATATGATGTCACATTCGAAGAAAAATACGGTACATGTAGGATTTATACTTAACCTTTCTTTTGCAAGCTGTAGGCAATTCCTAAAAAGAAATGTCTGTCATTTTTCGACAGCCTGATTACGAGAATCAGATGTGTGTCTTCTGGGACGAGGATGATTTAGATTGGTCAACTGAGGGATGTTTTTTTGTTGCCCCGAGGCCTGTCCCTTCAGTGCTGTCTGGTGTTTCAGCCAGAGCTTCTGAAGGCAACAACTCTGACAACATTCTAGAGGACTCGGAGACCATGGAGATGTACACGTGTGCGTGTTATCACCTGACCAACTTTGCAATTATAATGGTAATGTATTTTAGAGTAAATTGCCTGTAAGTAGCCTTTAAGTAGCCTTTAAAGCCACATTCAATCTCTACGATCACACTGAAGTCCAGTGTATTAGAATTGTATTGGTTATGGACGTTAACACAACTGCAATCTTCCTTTTCGAGGTTTGCACAAGTGGTTGATATCAAGTCGAATCGGGACCGATATGTCCTTTCTAAGAAGCTTGCAAATAATCTGAAATGTTTGAATTCGTTACTCATATAACTGCGATCTTTAACAACTTAATACAGGTTCGAATATTCCTGTCAATGAATATTGCGAATTCTTTAGAATCGGATACGTTGTGGTTGGCTTAAGTTTTTGATCGTATATCGTATGTCAGCGGGATATTTTAATGGTAAATACATATTAGTTAGCGTATGAAGAATATGTAATATAAAATACATGTACTATCAATGTATTATTATCTATGACTCTATGCATCATAGAAAAAAATAAGTCATTCAAAATGTAGGTCTCAAAGTAGAATAGTTTAGTCCACTCCACTCCACATGTTAATGTGTAAATGCTTTGACATTGTTTTTGTCATCTAATTCTGTTAAAATTTGTATATCTTATGTTCCATATCAATGTAGTCAGGATCATTAATATTAACATTAATAATGATAATAATAATATTAATAATTATAACAATGACAATATTAGTATTATGTCTTATTCACCCAGTCAGGGGGGGCCGAGCGACTTCCAAAGTGTGGGGGGCACTAGGTGCGTACGCGACTAACCCTAGTCCAATGGCTTCTATTGGTAAATCAATAATGATAAATCAAAATCAAATGGGGTTTGAAGCCCCCCCCCCCCCCTTTAAGTCTTTTGTATGTGTGTGTTTTGGAGGAAACCACCCCCCTTTGTTTTGTTTTTGTATTTAATTAAAAAAAAAAATATATAATGGTAATGGGTGACCCCCCAAAAGCTTACCTTACCCCCCCCCCCCCCCCCCCACGAAACGAAATATCGATCGGCCAATTTTTCACATTTTGGGACACAATATATATATATATATATATATGTCCTCTTAAATTTTACCTTAAAAGAGGAAAAAAAACAATCCTAATGGGGTTATATGCACGTTCTCATAACGGAATACCGGAAAGACCTTTGATAAGTAACATAAGTATATATATCATTTATAGATGCGTGCGAGCGTAGCGAGCGAACTTAGGGGGAAACTTCTCTTAGCCGCTTGAATTTAGTTAGGGCACGTTTAACGCGGAGAGAAAGAAGGGACACTTAGCAGAAAAGAAGAGGAGCATGTGCCAAAGTACAAAAAGGTGCAAAAGAAGGAAATTAAACAGGGATGAAAAAAGCCAGTCATGAGAATAGGAAATGGGCATTTGTCGACGGAAAAGGTGCCCCCCCCCCCCCATCAGATTTTGATAGGGGCATTTAAAAGATATTATTATATATTGTTAAAAGGGAAATTATCAGAGGTGAAAAGAAGCACTTATCGCATCTAAAAAGAGGCAATGAACAGATGTAAAAAAGGGATACTTAGGTGAATGAAAAAGGGGCACTTGTAATAAATGAAAATGTGCATTAGTTAAAAGAAAATGGGAACCGATCATATTTTAAAAGGTCATTTATCGGAGGTGAAGGGGGCACCTATCTGAAGTGAAAAGGAGTAACCTCTCGTACCTGAAAAGGGTCATTTACCAGAGAAGGGGCACTTATGAGAAAGGAAAGGGGCTCTTTTGTAATGGGGAAGTTATCATTAGGAAAAGGGGCACTTATTAGAAAGGAAAAAGGGCACATAAATATAAGGTGCGCTTTTCCGAGTTGAAATGGGGTTAGTTATTAAAAGGGGAAGTTGCATTTCTAGCAAAGGAAAAGGGGCACTTGTCAAAGTACAAGAGGCACGTACCTCTCAGATTTAAATAAGACAATTATCAGAGGTGAAGCAGGCACTTAGGAAAAGTGAAAAGAGGCACTTCTCGTACCTAACTAGGGACAATTACTAGAGATTAAGAAGGGCATTTATGAAAATGGAAAATGGACACTTATTGCAAAGGAAAATGGGAACTTGTCGAAGAAAAAGGGGCACGTGTCCAAATAAAAGGGGCACTTATCAGAATTGAAAAAAGGAAGGGGCACTTTTACAAATTAATAGGGGCACTTGTCAAAGTAAAAGGGGCACTTTCGGGTGCTTGAAAAAGTGGGGGCACTGTGCCCCCCTGCCAACCGGGAGGGCCGCATCTGCACCTACAATTGAAATATACCACACCATCATTATTAATTCTATTCTCCCTGAGGGTCCTGTAATCATATTATTATCTGCTGTTCTTTCGCGAAGTACTTTATGCGTCCCTGTCTTGCGCTTACGACTTCTGTTTTATCTGGTAATTTTTAAACCTTCATCTCATATTTTCTCCTTTTCCCCTTGTTTTTCCCTCCACTTTGACTATTTCCTTCTTCTGCTACATTGTTTCGTTCAGGATATCCACGATGTTACTACCGAGTATACCTACAACATCCTAAGCTACATAGGGTGTGCAATCTCTGCTGTATGTCTACTGATCGCACTTGGGACATATCTGTGGAATAAGTAAGTCTCACTTCAAAATTCTTTGAGAAAATTGTCTATTTTTGGTTTTAATCGTTCTAGATTAGACAATAACAATTTTTTTGTGGGGGGGGGGGGGGTGGGGGGTTGGGTGGGTATGGGGAATTTGGTTTAATTTTGTGTTGGTCTAACTACAAAGATCAGCACTGTTTGTGATTAGTCTACATAAGAACCTACCGTCACGTGTTGTTACAGGTGCGATATTTTAAGAAACTGATGACATTTATTTTCTTAATTTACGCTAGAAGCGGTCTCAATTTGTCCATATTTACACCTCGATCCAAAAAGAGGCTTTAAAACATAACCATCATGACCGTTTCTCTCTGACTTATAATCGGCATAGGATCTTTATCATGGATGCCACGTTTATTGGTAAGAACTAAAATAATCAATTTATTTTGCGATAGTCGGTAGGCTAACATCTTGCTTATATTGTAGTTACTCATTTAGCTATTTCCGGAGGTGTGCGCCGAGAGATTGCATAATTTATTGTTCCCCATGCGTTTGCTTATTTCAACCTTCTTAACAGAAAGCTACGGAGCCGCCAGACAAACAAGATTTTTATCTGCCTGTGTGCCACCATGCTGGGCCTGTACACCTCGTTCCTCGCCTTGCTTGTCTTGGACACTACTCGAGGAGATACGGAGGTGAACTCAGTAGCGTGCGGGTTTCTGGCCGGCCTCATTCAATTCTTCGTACTTTCCTCCATTGCGTGGATGGGAGTGGAAGGCATCAATACTTACCTGGTCATCGTACAAATATTCAATACATACATACCAAACTTCATGGTTAAGGCCGGTCTTGCAGCCTGGGGTACGTTAATATGACAATTTGAATGCTATATAGAGAAAAGTGTAAAGAAAGATTAATAAATTTAACCAGACTATGCCACCCCACCCCTCCCCCATCCCCCCAAAAACAAACAAAAACAAAACAAAGCATGGAATACAAATATTCTAACAAATATAAAAATATTTAAGGATCTCAGAGAGATGTTTGGGCTACGTGGTTCGATCAAAGCTGATTTTTTTTTTGCTCTCCGATTAGTAAAAAAACGATTAAAAAGCCATTTACCCATCTAGCTTAATGTCTAAGTTAATTATTTTACACACTAAACAATAAACTTTTCCTGATGTTTTGTTTTGTCTTTTCTCTACTACTGTAGGTATCCCTGTAATCATCGTTATCCTGACTGGTGGTATTGCAAACACGAACTATGCCAGGGAAGATGTGTAAGTTAAGATATTTACACAGAGCGCGATCGGAAAATCTTTTGAGAAATCAACTAAAGTGTCATTTTAGTTTTCTATTACATTGCCTTAAGGAATCATGTTAGGCATATTTTGATAAGTGACGCACACAACTGTAAAAAAAATGCATTACGTTGTAGTTTGTTTGTTTGTTTCTTTTATTATGTTTATTTTTATTTTTTGTGTTTAATGTTATTATTTGTTATTTTCCCTGACTCTATAAGCCAATGTATCATCGGTAGTCTACAATTGCTAAAAGCCAAATAAAAATAATGAAAATATACACATAACAAATCTTTTGAATGTATAATGAATTTATGTAAGACACAGAATGACTACAGCATAATATTGATTGGCGTGCGTGCAACCTATATGTATTATTGGTGTTCATTTACCAAATTGATAATATATTTGTTAATGTACCTGCCTCCCAATATAGCTGCTTCCTTCGCCTCTGGTCTCAAGTCGGCGGCCTTCTGATACCTGTAGCCGTCGTCCTGATCACCAACATGGTCATCTTTATTTTGGTCATCCGACAGCTATCGAAATCGGCTCAGATAGCCGGGAAAATAAAGAAAGACAAAGATGGAAGGCGCGAAGAGATGATTGAACGCGTCAAGAATGCAGTGACAATCCTGGTATTGATGGGGCTGACTTGGACTACTGGATATCTTCTACTTATCGAAGCCTTTACTCTGGTAAACCCGTTCTCATTGACTCACATACGCGCACACACACATACACACGCATTCTCACATCAGGGCCTTTGTGGGGCACCTGATTGTGGGGTATTTCTGTGCGTTCCAGATATACCTTGTGGTCCCCTACTAGTGGGGTATGTACAACCTGGCGATAACAACCCGGCGGTGTGCTTACGATGTTACCATAAAAAAGTGTGCAAGTTTTAGCACACGCTCACAAAAAGTCATTTATGGGGTACCACTTCTAATGCCCCGCAGGGCATAGGACACCGAATATACAGTCATTTGAAAGACTTTACTCTGTGGGGTCCTGAAAAAATACCCCACAAAGTAAAAATGCCTCACAAGGGGTATGTGAAGCGCACATAAAACCCCACAAGAATGCTGAGGCGAGAGCACACACTCACACACTCACACACACGCGCACACACACACACACAAACAAACACACACATATACATATCCAGGCCTGTATATATATACATAATAAGGCAGTTGAAATAAAAATCCACTTCTTTACTATGACCGGTTTCAATTTTGGACTATCTGACAAAATAAAATGAAACTGGTCATAGTGAAGTAGAAAACTCTAAAGGATTTTTATTTCAATAGTTTTGATTTTTACATATATATATATATATATATATATATATGTGTGTGTGTGTTTGTGTGTGTGTGTGTATGAGTATATTCAGCCATGGAAGAAATTATTAGACCAAGAAAGGTTTACAAATAATGGATGTTTTTGTTTCAAGAATGCGCCAAGAGATAGACCAAATATTTGCTTCAATTCAAATTCAAATTCAAAGTTTATTCAATACTCTTCATAAAAACATTTAAAATATACAAATACAGAATGGAGTTATAAATATAAAAAGACACAAGAAAGTGATGACAAATACAATGGAAATTTATAAGAGCATTTGGGATAGGCAGAAAGGAGGGAAGTTCCTTATATAAAAGCCTACCCCTAAAAACACACATACATGAAAACAAGAACAAAAGAACAGAACAAAAAACAAAGAACATATTAAAACTTATTATCATGCACGATCAGAGTATATTAAAAAAAATGTCAAACATTGGCCGATACTATTGATACTGATTATTATACTTGTTTAACAAAAATTGTTTATATTCGATTTTAAAAAGATTGAGGGTTTTGCATTTTTTAATTTTCTGAGGTATACTATTCCATATTAATGGTCCTTTAAAAATAGTGAATTTTTTATGCAAGTCGTTCTAATCTTGGGAAGGTGATAATTTAGGGCATTTCTAGTATTAAAATTATGCACGTCACAATTTAAGTTAAAACATGTAGATAAAAAGGTAGGCAAGTTGCCATGAAAACATGAAAACTGCAATATAAAAATTATGCATATCGATTACATTCGAAATTCCAAGTTTACAAAATAAAGGATTACAGTGAGCATAATATTGGGAATGAGTTATAATGCGTATTGCTTTCTTTTGAAGCTTAAGTAACCTAAACATATCATTTTTATTAAAATTTGCCCATGCAACTATACAGTAATTAAAATATGGTGTTATTAAAGTATGATACAACATTTTCAAAATATTTAAGGGATAAAAATGAACTTTATATAAAATACCAATATTTTTTGCTATTTTATTGCACACCACATTTATATGCCCATGCCACTTCAATTTATGATTAATTACAATACCTAAAAACTTAAGATTATCTACACGTTCAAAATTATGATCATTTACTCGTAAGTGAATGTTGTTTAAATCAATATTTCTATTTGTAAAAACCATAAACTTTGTTTTATCACAATTTAAAACCAATTTATTATATAAAAACCAATTAGAAAGTTTCAAAATTTCTTGCTTAAATTTTTTTTGTAAAACCTGGTCATCAGAATGAGACATCATCAAGGAAACACACACAAAAGTATTTTGTATGGTAATTTATATGAACAATATAATTCCCCCCCCCCCCTCCACCCCCGAAAGAATTCTTGAGCCGATTAAAAAATAAACGTGCCTTTTTACAGACTGCAAATATATTCATACAATAAACGTTAAAACGTGGGGGGAATAAAATACATTTCTCCTTCTCATCATTTTGTTCTGATTTAGGTTATCGCTTTCTCCATTAATTACGATAATCGAGGACTTTGTAAAATAATTGGGACAAACTGTAAATGCTCCAAAGTCAACAGGAATTTGATCCATTGTCTCTTCTCCAGGTTGTCCAGGCCCTATTCATCATGTTCAACTCCTTCCAAGGTCTCTTCATCTTCATCCTCTACTGTGTGCGAAAGCCTCTAATCCGTCAGCAATGGGGTTTGACCTGCTCCTGGTGCGATGGAGAAAGTACGCAGAGTGGTGGAAGACGAGTCTCATCAGCTTCTGATAGCCTGACTACCATCTCTAAGTTCTTCAGCAGCAAACGTGTGAAGAAGTACAGCGTTGGCGAGGAGAGTCTAACTGGAGTTTCAAATGGCGCAGACTCTTCACTGTCAGCGTCAGTCTCCAATCCCGCATATCATGGCCTCGACTTTGGCACTTCCACTGAACACTCTGACGAAAGCAAAATCTAATCTCATTGGATCAATAACAATCTCTGCTAAGCTCCATTATCTCTAACAAAATTCCTATAACTTTACTTTTGGTTTGTAAAAATAGGCCCAAGTTTTCTTGGTATGTTTTCAAGTCTTAATTATTGTCGACAATTAAAGCACTATTATCTCTAATGAAATAATTTATATAAACTTCAACTTTTAGTGGATGAAAGCTTGCCGACTAAATGTCAAGATTGGTAGAAGCTTAAAATATATGTTACAATAACCACAACTAATGAAAGTTTTTTTGTATCACTTAAGTTTGTAATATATTTTCCATGGGTCTGTTGGTCCTTCTTCTTTTGTAATTGTTGTCGGCAATTAAGGCACTATTATCCATAACAGGATTCCTTACCTTCTGCTTTTAATATGTAATATAGGCTCTTCAGGTCTCTTACACTTCGGCAATGAAAGCACTTTACCCCTACAGGCTAAGGAAATATCTTAAATTATACTTTATTTTGTAATAAACAGGTCGTTTGGTGTATCCTTTTTTTTGCTTTGATGTCAGCATAGTCAGCACTCTTTCAAGACATGTTATATAAATAAATGATTGTAAATGTAAAGAAATCAACTGAATTACAATGAAAATTTTTGTCTAAATGTAAATAGAGCAAGTTTAAAAAAAGAAAGAGATCTGATTTATAGCACACTGGTGAATCCTCGAGACTTTTAGTTATTATTAAGGATTTCTTATCTAGTAGTCGTTTTTTTCTTTAAAATCTGCCTTTAAAACTAGTTCACAAAAACACACGATCGTACATGTTTACCGCTGTCCATACTCAAATAAATGAATGAGTTACTATATAATGTATGACGAATCTTTCGTCAACATCGATATTTAAAGGTAAAGACCAGTTATGGTCATGCGATTGCATTGTAAAAGAAACGTTGTGGAATCGATCAGAAAAGGTTGATCATCTAGCATCTAGCATCTGCAAGGTTCTGGAATCATCAAAATGATAAGAAATTTGGCCCATTCTTTGTAAAGTTACAAGCACTATACACAGAAAGATGTATATGGGACTACCCTATGAGAGAAACAAATTTACCAAATATATGAATTAGTAGGCGGTTTCCCGGCAAATTTTTTATCATCATGTATTAGTCAAAACATATTTTTTCACATGATTGGTAATGAGAGCTTCCATTTCATTTTTTGAAATTGGGGCGTTTCCAATACTGGTCTTTACCTTTAAATATCAATTTGAGCAGAGTTATTTTTTATATATATGTTGTATTATAAGTATTACGGAATGCTGGTCACTCAATGTTATTCTTGTAATCTGGCAGAGATTCAAAGGAAAATGTTACCTTAATGTAATGGGAGGATAACTCTATCAAGACAAATCATGAAACTCATGATTAAATATTCATACTTCAAACAATACAACTTTTAAAAAGTGGCACATTTTTTCTGACTCACTCTTTAGGTGTCCTCTGGTATCCGCATCTCCTGTATTTAAAACTGCGTTGTACATTTCGAGATGCCTCCGTGAGGGACCCGCACGGGCAATATTCATTTTAAATGGCCCCCGGACGGCAGACGCATATTGTTGTGCATATCACCCGGGGCTCTTGAGGGGCCCTTGAGCACCGCAAGGCGCCCGTAAAGATTTTTCATGAGAATTGACCCCCAAAATCGTGAGGGGCCCGTCTGGCCACCGTCCGGAGCCCGCACGGGACCCATAAGGTGCCCTACGAGCCCTTTACAGGCTTTCTACGGCCTAACGGTCAGATAAAAACGCCGGGAGAATTGGGAGCAGCCAATTCAGCACCATGGCGCCCGTACGGCTTAAAAAACTGTCCCGGCGCCTGTAGGAACTTTACGGCAACCAGCCGGACACCGGCCGAAAATTCCCAAAATGTCTGTTTTTACTCGCCGTACGGGCCCCGGAGTGTATATGTGAAAGCCCCATAAGACTCATAGACCAAAGCTTTCATGACACAGGTGTGTGTAGTCCCATTTTGTTTGGAGTACATGTGATTTTCAGCATGATCGATTTTCTTTCTTTCTATTGTAATTATTCCAACACCTGACTGTTTATGTAATTTCTTGTTTCTCATTCACCCTTTGCAATTAATTACCGACCAATCTCTTTCACAATGTAATTTCATGACTCGTACCTAATTTCAAAAGATAACTTTGGGGTTTATTACATTTCAGTTATTCAAATGTGTTCAATTAATGTATGCAAAAATGCTATACATAGATTAGGCGAAACTTCTTTAAGCTACAGCCGGGGTTATAATAATATTATACAAAGTATCATATTATGATACTTTGTATTAAGCGCAGTTCATATTTATATAGTAGCTGAAAAAAGCTACTTTATAAATATAAACATGGACCTATTCATAAGTACACATCCGTTGATTATTTAGAAAAAGTTATTGTGTGGTATTGGGGGAGTTGAAATTAAGTGGTTCGAGTGGTATCTATCCAATAGGCAACAATGTGTATTCTTGCAAAAGACGAAAAGAAATTTTATAACTGTGAAATCAGGAATTCCACAAGGATCAATACTAGGGCCATTAATGTTTGCCTCTATGTGAATGATATTTGTAACCTGCAACTCCATTCTAAGACAAGATTTCCTGCGGATGGAACGGCAGTGTTTCATCATGGAAAGATTACAAAGTTTGTGAATGCATCCCCTAAAAGACTTTTCTAGTATCTTGAAATGGCTTAAATACAATGGACTGTTTTTAAATGCAAATAAAACCAAAACAATACTCTTGGGTTGTAAAAAAAAAAAATTCAAAATAATAATTTTTGAATTCATTTCAGTGATAATGTACTCTACTCAGTCGAAAGTATGAAATATCTAGGTGCAACACTAAACAAATGTCTAACATGGTCGCTTCATGTTATGCTACAGTCACACGGCCATGTTACGGACCTGCGGATGCTTACGTATATTTCATCCGCAGCAAAATTTTGAGATTTTCAAAATTCCGCTGCGGATCTGGGTATGTCTGCGGATCCTGCGGATTGAATTACGGATGGATACGGATGCTTACGGATGATACGGATCCTTGCGGATGCTTACGGACTTTTATCCGTAAGCATCCGCAGCTACCGTAAGTGGCCGTGTGACTGTGCCAATATGGCACAGTCACACGGCCACTTACGGTAGCTGCGGATGCTTACGGATAAAAGTCCGTAAGCATAAGAGAAGTTGTTAAGAAAGTATCGGGTACGATTGCCTGCATTAGACGTATACGCCATTATAGTACTCTTAAAACTCTAATTACATTATACTATTCTCTTATCCTACCGCATTTAAAGTACTGTAATTCAGTATGGGGAAATATAACAAAGTTGTCACAATTTTAAAAATAGATATGCACGATTAGTTCTTCGTGCCAAATATTTTACACCCCAAAATGTTTTAATGTGTAAATTGAATTGGCAGTCAGTTGAGGAAAGAATAAAATATCAGAAATGCATCTTGATTTTTAAAATCATAAACGTCCTATCACCACCATATCCAAATCCATGTATAAGTAAAAGACCTGTATTATATTCTACTCTAGACAGTCCATTATTCATTCCAAAATGTAAAACAAATATTAAAAATGAAAACCTTAGCGGTTTCAGGGGCTAAATTATACAATAAATTACCCTGTAATATCATTTTAAAAAGTCTCTGCAAAGCTTTAAAAAGAATGTTCAAGCTTTTCACTTTCTCTTGTAAACATCTTTTTACGTTGATATGACCTTTATCAATTACATTTTATTTAGTTTTCTCAATATGATAGATGTATTTTTGTCCTTATAATTGTTAATGATTGTGTGTTTTTATGTTACCTATGTTTAATCTTTATTTGTTTTCCTTTCTCTTATCTATATCAATTTGAGTTGAATTGTTGTATACGCCATGTATATTTTTACCTTTGTCTGTATGTTTTGAATTCATGTTTTTATTGTTCATGTTTTGTGTGAATGCAGGGCTCTCTGGGAGAGCAGGTCCAGAAATGGACTTGAAATGAGACCACCCTGTTGAAATAAAACTATAATAAATAAATAACATACGCAGATTGTCTTGCTGACACAAAAAATAAGGAAATTCGTTTTGGTCACCGCTGGCAGCTACTGCAGCAGAAAGTATGTATTTTCATTATTTAAAACAATGTCTTTCACCTATAGCACATACATTATTGTATTTACGTATTCGATGTATGAGAATGATATTATATCTCTTTCCTGTGCTTCAATCACGATTATTCATGTTATACAGCGGTTATGAACTCTGTAACCTCCACTTGTAAAGACAAGCTATCTATCCGCAACTGAGTTTTTTCGTCTTCCAAAACCGAATACTTAAATATTTTGTCACATCATCGGGGTAGAGTCTTGGGGAGTGGGTTGAGGCTATTTCAGGAATGAGTCGTAGATAATTATTTTGTTGATTCTTTTTAGATAACTGACTGTCCGAAACGCTCATCTACTGTATAAAAAGGGAAAGGTTGTCCAAAAGCACAATACGTATCGTTGCCAGTTTCATTTGACCCCCTTTGTCTAATGTGCTTCATGTTCACACATATATTCCAAATCTGTTAGTTACTTGCTTTCATTTAAAAAGATCACGATGTTTTGCGCTGCCATTTATACTTATGCTCAGTGTTGTTTTGGCGTGTTTGGTTGGTAATGCGCACGTGTGGTCTTCCCAACCTTTGACCCTGAAGTGCTGAAGGTCACGTGCTAAACATCGCTATGTTTCAGTTGCTACAGTTTACATTACCAAACATTACCACATATCACGCGGACATTACACAAATCACACTCCGGCTTGGAATGTTTCTGGCTTAGCATCTTTGGCAGTTTTGCGTAGCTGTCTAGCAAACATTACTGAAAGATCGCGGTCTTACACCGGTTTGTCTTCTTTTGGCGTGTTGGGTTGCAAGCGTAAATGGCCCTTAAACGTGTTCATTGCATTTTTGTGAGATTTTTCCTATCCTTTTTATTGGTTTAAGTGATCACATTGAGGCTTCATTTTATTCCACCTAATTCGTGTATTGAAATATATCATATGCATATTCATTGTATAAACGTATTGTGATAAGTATATGTCTTTCTTGTGATTGATCGCGATTATTCATGTTATACTTCGGTTATTAACTTCTAACCACCACTCGTAAAGTCAAGTCATCTATCCGCAACTATGTATTTTCATCTTTCAAAACAGATTAATTTAATATTTTGTCACATCATTGGTATAGAGACTTGAGGAGTGGGTTGAGATTATTTGATGAATGCGTCTAAGATAACTATTACTTGTGTGTTTTTAGTAAACTGACTCTCCGAATCGCTCATTTACTGTACAGAATTTAAAGGTTTTTTTAAAATGCACAGTAGTTATCTTTGCCGGTTTCCTTTGTCTTATGCGCTTTATGTTTACACAGATATTCCAAAACTTAATAAACTTAAGTTTCTAGCTTTAAATCTTGGATATATGTGTTCATTGCATTTTTGTCTAATTTTTCCAATCATCAATATTGGTCTTCATTTCACTCCACCTATGGGTGTATTGAAGAAGGAAGTAATTCAAGTACAAATGTTTACATTTTTATTAATTTTACTCTATATATCACATTAATGTGTTTCTTTTCAAGCTAACATAAATTTACTTCTTTCTTTTAAATAAAAAAGAATCAATTGTTGGTGGAATAAGATTTTATTGTAAGCCAAGAGCCTTTCCTGGAAAAGTCACCCATTTCAAGTTAAGTTCACTTTATTCAATACATTTATTTGAAATAAACAAACGTAAAAAAACATAAAATTACAAAATAATGTCAATATATAACATGAGAATAACATAAGCAGAGATGACAAGAAGAATAAGGGTAAAAA